AGAGTGTGCAGTACTTAAAAGACAAATACTATGCTGCTTTCACTTCCTCCCTTCTGTCTATAGAGCTTCTGGCCCACTTCATTGTGCTACACTGCACGTTCATCATTTGTCAGTTTCTCACAGACACGAATCCAGAAGAATTGGTGCAAACATTTGAAAACATGCTCACACAGCATTCTCCACAGAGATTGTCTAATAAGACAATCATCCTAGTAAGACAATCATTTGATCGCATCAAATAAGAGAGCTCAATGCAAAATCACTAAAAGCCAGAAAAGGAACCCTATAGGGACCCTCTGGCCTGTATGAGCTATAATTAAAACAAAGATAATTAGGTTGTGACTTTGTCTCATTTCATTTTGCCATAAACAAACAAAAAAGAGGATCACAATGTATTATGTAATGTGGCACCAACCTTGTAAATACCTTTTCTGATCCCACTCATTAAAACAGAAGGGATTTAACAGCTACGTAGTAAGTGCATGAGATCTTTGTCATGTCAGATACTAAATTTAATAAGAAAATAAAACAGATACACGCAAACACTTGTCTCTGAAGGTACAGAAAAAAGCAGGCACAAACAAGTAGCCAGGTGCTAAACTCCCTTCATGTGCATATGCAGTTTCCTGATTCCTATCACCATGAGTTTTCACTGTGGAAATCTGGATCTCTGCCTTCCTCTGCCAGTCAATTCTTGTTATTACTTAGAGAGGGGAAACAAGCAAATAAACAATGTAGTTACTTGAGGATATCATCTTTAGTTCAATTTGAAAGGACGAGATAAAAAAATTGCGCAAGTGCTGCCGATTCTTAGTTTTTCAGCTTCCTTTGTTGAATCATCATAAATGATTCTTTAACTTTTTAATCGTTTTCTTTGACAAGAAGAAAAGTGCGGAACTTGCTGCTAAATGCAAAAATATTACTCATTTATAGCTTGCAACACTTCTAAACAGATGCCATTCCAGAGCAGAAAAGACATTTCATACTGTCTCTCTCTCTAGCACATGGCTATTTCTAGCAGCTTCTCCCATAGGCACGCCTATTTGATGTTGTATTACATGTAATGCAGAGCCTGCAACAAACAGCAACCACCTTAAGACACCTTTTCAAATCCCATATCAGAAAAATACAAGAGACTATGTCTGTGTAGGAATGTATATATGTGTAAAAGAGCAGTACTAATTATCACTGTGACAAGAATTTCTTTTCTATCTTCACTATATCTGTAAAGTAATGTATCTCATTTATATTAAAACTACATCTGCAGTGACATTTTTCTTTTTATAAATCGTTTGCAATATGAAATAAGCATTTTCTCCTAGTGAAATAAAAGTAAAAATGTGTTTTCAGACAGCATAAGTTCATATGACATACAGTATTTTTCACCGATTTTACTGACTTTACCAATTTTGGTAGATTCACTAGAAATATTTGCCACTAGTATTTCAATATTTTTTATTTCATAATTCCATTCCCACTTCAACTATGTGTTTAGCTATCTACCTCACAACTGACGTGACTGGGTCTGAATTCTGCTTCAAACACCTATACTTAGCAATGGGTTATAAAACCATTGCAGAAAACAACTTTTTTTCAAAATACATTGTTAACAAAAGTAATTGCAAACATTAATTTTATGGTTATTTGGAGCTTGAAAGATCCCCAAAAAGATACAGCCCAATTTAATGAGTTTTAGTAACAGACGATAAGACTAATCTTGAAAGATTACTTACTTATGCAGAAAGACAATTTCTACGTTGACATCATCCCTATCCTTGTGCAGGAAGTCCTTCAGGAAGTTGGACACACTTTCAAGTGTTATGTGACCACAGACAACTATGTGCCTGTTACAGAAAAATCAGAGTTAATCTTGCAAAGAAGATAAAACAAAAAAGCAAGAAAGCAAAGAAGAAAATTATAATTTATTGGCCAAAAGAGAGTATTAGTCTCTTCTTGATGTTTCTCTAGATCCTATTCTAGGAAGTCAGAGAAAGAAAACATCAGTTCCAAAACGTGCTTTGCAGTTGCAAATACATATACACTCTCACTTGCAAAGACTAATATTAACAAACCATTTGGCCAAGTTGTATTACACATTTAACAGTAAGTGGCATCATTTATATATATGTTTATACTCTGTATTAACCAGTCCCTTTCAAAGTCATATTTCTTTATTTTACACACCTTTCTCCACTTCTTAACCTCCTCTACTTGGATTTACTGTTTAAATTTTTGGTTTATGACATTAAAAGACAGCAAATCTCCCTAAAATGATTCAATGTTTTTCCATGGTTGAAAGCAGACACTTATGCCAATGAAGGCAGTGCAAAGCTTGCCAATTATAGGCCATAAGCAGTAAAAAAGAAATCTTTGTCCTACCACCACTCCTACAAGGAGAGTACTTTACAGTAAGAAATCATTATTTATTGCACCATTGCAATAGATTGCTTTGAAAAATCAAAGTTTGCAAAGACTGCGATGTCACAAAGGTTTCTACTGCTTCACATTTCCATTAATAGATGTATCTGACCATGTAAGATGAAGCACAATGTATACCTACATACATATTCTTGAACTCTACATCTTAAATTCTGAGAGGCTGAAGAAAAGGTCTAGGAAATTGCACTCTTCCTGATTTAAGGGATCTTTGCTCCTTTATTATTGTAAAGCAAAGTCCAAAAACCTGTGATTAGAATATCCTACAATGTCTCACAATTTCCTTCATGGAATAAACTCAACCCCAGCTTCCATTACTGTCATGGATTTAAGACAGGTGGTGATTTTGATATGCCTATTGCTAACACTTCCAATTACCACATTGCTCACAGAAGTCAGGAAGAGGGACAAGGTGGTATAGATACAATTCCTGAACTAACAGAAAGTCAACTTCATTACAGCCATATAGTCTATGCACAAACACTACAAACACACAATTTCACAAACTTATTTGGCACATGAACTGCCAAATGTGAAGGAAAGTAATTCCAAGGGTGAGAAACAGACATCCATAAATGTTTGGTCGAAAATTCAGTAATGCAGAAACCTCATTGGCTGGAAACAACAAGTAATAGGTAGCAGAAATGAATACTTATGTAATGGGCTATTATAGGAATCTGCTCTAGCTTCATAATTTGATGCTTGATGAAATGTGTGTGAAAAGTGCATAGAACTCATTGGAAAAGGGATAATTATGCAGAACAAAGAATAAATCAGTAATATGCATCATGCAGTGAATAATATCACTATCATGTACTGTTACTTTTGCAGTGGTTCAGATGGTCACTAGAAAAGCAAAACACAATAAACTGTTATACCAGTCCAGCACAGCTTATATTGTTCTACTACTACCACTTTTACAACTAGCGTAGCACAGAATTTTAAAGCTTTATTTAGAAATATGACAAACTCAAACACTCCTTTTGCATGAGTTCTTAGTGACATCACCAGGACTCGGATGTAATTTTAGAAATAGCAGTAGTCAAAAACTTCAATGGTTTCATTCTTTTTAACAGGCAAGGAATACATGTTTATATGAGAGTCTGATCACGCTGTTTTGTATTTAACATAAAACTCAATACTATGAACTTTTATGGCTAAACTAGCTATCCAGAGTGTCTGCTTTGGCTTCAGTAAGATTTTGCTCAATTTTCACTTAAGTTTTTGGTGCAGTAGGTGTACAGAGCACTGAGTTCTCGGACTGTAAACACTTAAAACTACAAAAATCCCTGAGTTAAAGCTTTCCTGTTTTATGAGGTGGTAAACACAAAATCAGAAAACAAGACATAAAATATATTAGCTCATCCTTTTTTGGTGCAAGGTGTCCTTAAGAGGTTTCCTCTGGGATCTCTGCAGCTTGGCAGAGTTTGCAGCAGCCTCTGTACTAGATAAACCCATGCCTATACTCCCCCCTTCAGAAGCAATCTTCCTCAGTTTCCCCAGTGGTCAATTGCCTGAGCTGCCAGCACTGTGTGTGCATGTGTTATTGCACTCACAGTTAGGTCAGGATAACAACCTTCAACACAGAAGGGTAAAACATGATTTCAAGCACTAAGATTCACTCCCTACCAAATGGATGAATCTCCATCCAATATATCAATGTAAATGGAAAACCTCAAGAAAGTTCAAATTCGGAAGAGATGTTTAAAACCTGAGTAGTTTACTAGATCTAAATTCTGAACAGACTGTGTTTGATACACTACATTACACTAACATATTAGGAAGTTCTAGCTGTCTAGTGGTATTCAGCACTTTTCCTGAGCATAAACCCATCTAGCATCAAAAACTGCAAAGACCCAAGAAAATGATAAATAGCAGCTAAAAGTATTCATCTGTATTCCTTATACTGTCTGTACATGTTTTCTAAGATGACTAATTTTAAACTATGGGTATTATTTTCTTCCAATGTTTCCATCTGTTACTAATTAAGAAATTGAACTTTCCATTTGCATAGTTGATGCATTATTTTTAATAATGGAAATAATTTCTTCTTGTAGACAACTGCTTTGTACAGACCCTGTGCTGTTACCTTTAGCAGAGTCTCTTCCTGAATGCTCTTGTGCTACACTGCATTCCTGTGCAGAAAATTTACTCCCTTCCTGGGAGAGTTCACTTCATATGGGTTCTTTTCTGTCATTAATTAGAGTCCACATTTTAAAAATATGGGTAATCTGAAGAGAAAAACTACAAGCCAGATAGAGTATGCAACTCAAATTACTCTATTGCAGAAGAAATTTTCATAGGATCATAAGATTACAAGATAATTCAGGTCAGAAGAGACCTCCAGAGGCTATCTACTCCAAAAACCTCCTGCTAAAAGCATTTGGTACAGTAATTCAATCCTGTTATGATTCTCATTCAATAGGGTTTCATAGCAATCTGATCCAGTGAAAATAAAACATTTAGCTGTCAAATACTCATGCATTTGAGTATCAGGGCTGATTCTTTTGAAAGTGTCAGAAGGCATCTGCATCATGGTTTCATTTTAGCACTCTGATTTGGGGCCGGACATGATCTATTCTCTTCTTTGCTGTTCTTACATAGTGCAAGACAATGTCCTGTGCAGTGATTGCAACAGAAACTCCTGGTTTTCAAACAATATTTTCTGATGAGATACTTGCATTAATTTTTGGTTGAAAACTCCCACCACAAAAAAAAAAAATCTCCTTTTAACATAAATTATATTTTTGCTTAGAAGTAGAAGAAATTGAAAACAGATTTCCTACTTGCCCAGAGAGGGTTATTAGGTACATTATTTAAGAAAACTTGGAAAGCTTATATTGTTCCAATCTGTCCTCTGTATGATTTGAAGATTTATAACTTCCTCTGTTTGTTCCAATAACCTTTCCCTTCCCATGTACCACCCATTTTTTTCCACGCACCAAGAGTTTAAGTAAAGCCAACATACTGGATATCTTTTGCTTTCAGCTAGAGTTGGTTGGTAGGAAAATATTGTATTAATAATTTTGGGTCAACAGAAATATCTAACCTCTGCATTAAGCTTTTGTTTATGAAAAACCTCAAAAGTAATACAGTATTCAGCTAAATTATTACGATTTCCAATTTTTTTTTTCATTCCTTAAAAACAAAATTTAGAAATTCCCTTACAATACTGAAAACCACGATTCAGGAATTTAGACATTTTTATCGCTGATTAATATTCAGGAGGACTAAGGCTTTCTGTTAAGTAATAGTTGTCAATGGTATCATCTATCAGAGGTGAAACTGGTGTAATATACCAATGGGAATCCATATTACACGACTGTCATGCTGCAAAAAGAATCTTTTACAGGGAATCAAAAGCTTATCAAGAGCCATATTCTATCAACCAATAAAGCCAAACTAATCCATTCTCTCCCATATGTAATTATCATTCTCAAAAGTAATTACAGTGACCAAATATGAAAAATTAGTACAGTTATACACAGTTGATTTCAACTGTGATTCTATACAGTTGAAATTCTCTTTTTTTCCACTCAAGTATCAACATAATGATACATTTGCTAAAAATACACTAGCTTCTTATAAAGTAAACAAAAATGGTGATAAAAGGTCCAAAGCTACCACAGATACAAACAGTTTCAGGAAGAAAAAAATGAAATAAGCAAAAGCTAAACCATCTAGAATTCTGACATGAGATAATTGAGAACATACACTTAATCCATGTAAATAGCACTGTAAATGAAAACAGATCCACTGTGAATAGGATTCTTCAAAAAGGATCTTTGCATGGTTCTTCCTTCAGAGGACACAATATGAAAGGCAAATCTTTTGCCTGTTTATTTTGAAAGAAATTATATCCATTTTATTGGAACAAGTATAAAGAACTTGAAAAAAACTCACTCTAACTAGTCTGTCATAATAAATCAAAGATAATAAATACAAAATTCTGTTCAGCATTCAGCTGAATACATGGTGTTCACTTGTCAAGTAACTAAATGAAGTGTGGCGCATATTGATCTAGATGTCTCTATAAAACTGTAATATTTATATCAAATACATATGCTCAAATCTCTTTATGGTCTTTCTGCTTAGTGTTCTGATCATGCCTTCATCTATCGACCATCTAAATTCTTTCTTTGTATACCAGTAGCAGGCTGCTGTGGTTGAAGTAAACAGGTTCTTGTAAAGTCTAACTGGTTTTCCTCAACAAAGGATGGGTCTCACTCACTTTTTCTTATTGAGAAAAGTCAATAAATGTCAACAGAGTACATATAGTCTTCTTGTTTATCTATTAGTGGTATGCATTCTTTAAATATACCAGTTTACAATACATTTCTAGCTGCTTGTGCTTTTTATGATTTACCTAACATTACTCAAGATTCTATTAATTCAGTTCAATTAAGTG